CCTGGACTTTTATTTGCTGGGACAATTTTGATTACTTATTTATTCTCCCTCCTAGTTACACATCTATTCAGATTTTCTATTTCTATATGATTCAGCTTTGGTAAATTGTATTTTTAGGAGTTTGTTCATTTCATCTAGGTCATCCAATTTATTGGCATACAAATGTTTATAGTACCCTCTTATAATCCTTTTTATTCCTGTAAAATTGGTAGTAACGTCTTCACTCTAATTTCTGAGTCTCTTTTTCTTTGTCAGTCTATCTAAAGGTCTGTCAATTTTTGATCTTTTCAATGAACCAACTTTTGGTTTTGTTGATTTTTTTTCCTACTATTTTTTGGTCTTTCATTTACTTTCATTCTAATCTTTATCATTTCCTTCCTTCTGCTGCTTTGGGTTTTAGTTTACTCTTTTTCTGATTCCTTGAACTATAACATTAGGTTATTGATTTAAGATCCTTCTTCTATTTTATTGCATTTACAGCTATAAATTTCCTTCTCAGCACTGCTTTCACTGCATCCCTTGTAATATATGGTATTTCTATTTTCATTTGTCTCAAAGTATTTTCTAATTTCCCTTGTGATTTCTTCTTTGATCCATTGGTTGTTTTATTTCAACATACTTGTTAAATTTTCAGCGTCCCTTCTATTATTTATTTCTAGCTTTATTCCATGTGATCAGAAAAGGTTCTCTGTATAATTTCAACCTTTTTTTCTCTCTTGATCTTGTTTATGGTGGTTTTTTAAAAATTTCTTTATTTTAATTAGTTTCAAGTATACAGTACATTGGTTAGACATCTATATAGTTTGTAAAATGATCCCCCCAATTGCTCCCTCCCTCCCCTGACCCTCCACCTAGCCAATGTATTAATGCTAATTGCATTCCCTGTGCCATGCTCCCCATCCCCATGGCCATTCATCACCTACTAATTTGTACTTCTTTAACCTTTCACCCCAATCTCCCAGCCCCCTAAAACCACCTCCCCTCTGTTTGTCACCAAATTGTCCACTATATTTCTGAGTCTGTTTTTCATTAGTTTGTTCTTTTTATTCCTTAGATTCCGCATATAAGTGAAATCATATAGTGTTTATCTTTCTCTGACTTCTAGGTCCATCAAAGCAATATCTTTTTCCATCCCCTTCCTTTTAGTGTGTGTCTTTTAATCTGAAGTGAGTCTCTTATAGGCAACATGTAGGGGTCTTGTTTTCCTTTCCATTCATCCACTTTTTTAGTTAGAGCACTTAATTCTTTTCCATTTGAGGTACTTATTGATAGGAATGTAGTTGTTACCATTCTTTATTCCTGTTTTTGATACATGCTTTTTCTTAAAGAAGTCCCTCCAACATTTCCTGTAATATCGGCTTGCTGGTGATAAATTCCTGTAGCTTATTTTTGTCTGGGAAGCTCTTTATGTGTCCTTCAACTCTAAATGATAGCTTTGCTGGATAAAGTATTCTTGGTTGTAGATCCTGGGTCTTCATCACATCAAGTATTTTGTGCCAAGCCCTTCTGTCCTGCAAAATGTCTTTTGAGAAATCAGCTGCCAGTCTTATGGGTGTTCTCTTGTAGGTAACTATCTGCTTTTCTCTTGCAGCTTTTAATATTCTTTCTTTGTATTTGACCTTTGGCATTTTAATTATGATGTGTCTTGGTGTGAGCCTCTTTGGATCCCTGGTTTTTGGGATTCTCTGAGCTTCCTGGGGTTTTATGTCTATTTTCTTCACCAGGTTAGGGAAGTTTTCCATCATTATTTCTTCAAACAGCTGTT